CGCGTGAGGGGCGCGGGCCGGCCGGGCGGTGTGGTGACGACGCCTCTCCAGGCCTGCAATCTAACCCAGACTTCCTGCAGCGAATGGGAACTTCCGCACGAACTTTCTGGAAGCTGCTCGTTCGCTGCGGCTCCGGACCCTGGATCGAATCAGCGGGGCCCCAGACCTGCGAAGCTCTTCACGCGGGCCCGTGGGTCCCGCCCAGGCTTCTGTCTGGGCAAGGGCCTCTGGGGGAACACGTTAGTGCTGTTTGGTGGTTGGTGGTGATTTGAGATTTTGAGGGGAGCAAGTTGATGGATTCGCCTTGTTTGTTTTATTGCTGTTTTTGCCGTTCTTGTTGACAAGATCAACGCCCTTCCCTTGCAGTGGCAACCACGGCCTGTTTTCCCTTTGTAACCAGAAGACCCCAACCCTTAGATTTGGGATAAAGGTGCGATTTCGTTACGCAAAGCGTACAAGGTATACATATTTCTTTCAAAGTGTTGAGCCTAGAGGGTAGGCAGGTGCTGTGGTAAAGGGGGAAATGCCCATTTTTCAAAAGAAGAGTGCCTCTCCCGCCCCCACCCTACCCCACCCACCCCACTCCAGTCGTTCCCACCCCACAGTGTCACTTATTTAAGACAGTAAATTCAAAGCCCTACCCCCGGGTACGCATTGAACCAGAATCTCGGGGAGTCCTGCATGGGCATGCCTTACTTTGTTTTGTTTAGTACTAAGCTCCATAGATGATTAATTAGGTTCAAATCAAATCACTACTGAATTCCCAAGCCACCCAAACACAAGGACAGGTCACATTTCATCCTGTCCTGTGTTATTCCTCTACCTGGAATTCCCTTCTCTTCCTCGACCCCTTTACCTGTTACTTGTGAGTGAAGATCTTGACACAACCTTGTCTGAGAGGTTTCCCGCCCCAAGCATAAATATAGGCTGTGGCTTTATCATTTCATTCCTCCAGAAGAAACCTTTTCAGTCAATTGAAAAGGGCAATTGCATGTGAAATTGTACACTAAATACGGATGGATTTTATTGTTTGTAAATTATATGAAGGTATTTTTTTTTAAAGGGATTGGATTACGGTAATCCAGAGAACTATGAAAAAACTCTAATTATCCTAAATATTTTATATTATAACCTAAGATAAATAATTGCTCACTCATTTGCCAAACAACTGAGAAAGAAAGGCCAAGGCCTTTTCAAGGGTCTGTTGATAAGAGTTCTGCATTTTGTCTCTAAACCATTTAAGATTTCCCCAGAGTTGAGTTATTTAAAAGGAAAATAGCGTAAGGGCACTTTTGAATTGGAATGCAGATTTCTTCTCTTTAATCTCTGTTTTTTCAAAATCATTTTATTGGGGGCTCTTATTGCTCTTACAACAATCCATACTTCAGTGGTATCAATCACATGTGTGTGCATATGTTGCCATCATAATTTTCAAAGCATTTTCTTTCTACTTGAGCCTTTGGTATCAGCTCCTCGTTTTCTCCCTTCCCCCCTCCCATGAACCTTGATAAATTATAAATTATTATTATTTTCATATCTTATATCGACCGGTGTTTCTCTTCATCCCTGTTTCTGTTGTTTGTCCCCCTGGGAAGAAGGGGTTCTTTAATCTAAAGAGGGGGGCCATCAAAAATTTTTTGGAAAAAATGGAATGGGATAATGGAATTTTCCATAAATTTTGAAGCTCCCTATACTACACATATAAACAACTCCCTTTTATTAAGTCTCTAGGTCTTTGCAAATATGAATTACCAGTCTTAAAGAAATAAACTTTCTTCAAGCTATTTCACTGGTTTGCATATAATGTAAAATACTATGAAAGCAAGTGAGTACAACTGGCATAAGCAAGTTTGAGAACAGCACAAGTAATTCACTATAAGGATGTAGAATTCAAGTGGTGGGAGCAGGAGTAAGCTGACTCACTGCTGGGGCACAGGGAAACCAGCTCAATGGGAGCATTCAGCATGATAGGGGTCATTCTCCACTTAACATTTAGAAAGAGACTAATTCAGATTAATTGAGAGAGTAAGTGAAAGTTGGCTAAAGAGCTTCTATTGTACTTCTTCATTTCAATTATTTGATGGTCTGTTTCTCCTATTTTAAGGGCACAAACTGCTTGGCAGATAAGAGGGAACTATTGGGGGAAATCCCAGGTTATCCTTTCTAAAAATTTTTATTGTGATTTTGAGAAAATTTGCATAGTAAATTGGATGCTCACTTAACAATTTCTATACGTATTACAGCCAGTACCTGGATTATGAACAAGTACTGTTTCTGTCTTTTAAGACTGTATTAGTCTGGGTGCTTTATAGAAACAAATCCACAGAAACTCAGGTATAAGAGAGAGCTTTATATAAAGGTTAAGTGCACATCAAGAATACATCCCAACCCAGTGCTCCCCAACCCCACAGGTCCAACATTAACCCATTAACCTATATGTCTGACACCAATCCACAAAGTCCTCCTCCGTCTCGCAAAACGCGCATACATGCCAACTGCAGGAGGAAAGCCAAGTCAGTGAATGTATAAACATCTCAACACTGGCACTGGTCTCCACACGGCTGCTCCAGCACCCAGGGCTGCATCAGGTAGGTCCATGTGGCTTCTCCACAGGGATGTCTTGCAGGAAGTGAGCCTTGCCAGCTAAAGCAGGGATCCGCTAAGGCAGCTGCACCCTGGTCAGACCATCAGAAAGCAAGAGACCCGAGAACTAGAAGGGCGATGCTCACCCAGCCATTTCTCTCCAACTTTCAATTAACCCCATATGAGTTTATCGGCCAGGTTGGCACAATAAACTATCTCAAAGACAAAAAAGAGCTGGACCAATTAGGTATAGTTCATATCTGTTTTGTCTTAGTATATGGGATATAATGTACCTTTTTGCATTAAAAAAATTTAAAGAAATACTTCCAAATACACTAAAACATTGTTAACCTAAGAATACAAGAATACTTTTGTATTTTGTTTTTAATTTTCATTGTGGTTTTTGTTAAAGTTTACAGAAGAAATCAGTTTTCCATTCAGCAATTCATATATGCCATTGATTGCAGTCCCCACAATGTAGTAGAACCCTTCCTGCTTCCTCCCTGTGACTCCAATTTCTATTTGGCCCATTTTCCTATACCTTCCTGCCTTCTGTGCTTTATCCCTGAGCAAATGCTGCCCTTTTGGTCTCTGGTTGATGGTTCTAAGAAGTATATTCACTAGTGTTACTGGTCCCCTTGCAGACCTGTCTTGTTTGACTGCAAGTTGAAACCGAGAAGAGTTCAGTCCCACGCCTAAAGAGTGTTCGAAGCACATAGTCCCAGTGTTCTGCCAGTCTGTCCTGGTCATTTTTATAATTAAGAGTTTTGTTCTACATTGTCCCCCACCCTACCCAGGATCTCATATTGTGGTCCCTCTCAGATGGGTCAGTAGTGGTTGCTAGGTACCATCTATTCCTTCTGGTCTCAGAGTGGTGGAGGGTGAGATTCAATCAGTCCATTCATCCTTTGGAAAGTAGTTCCCATGTATCTGATTTCCTTCACTCTTCTTTGCTTCGGATGGGGAGAGACCAATAGTTGCACCTTAGATGGCCAAGCTTTTAAGACCTTTGTCACTACTCATCAAAATAAGAATAAAACATTTTGTGGACTCTGTTGTGCCGATTGACCTTGATATGTTCCAGAGGCCTAGTGACCCATTTCCTCACGTTTAGTTATGACAAAGAGGTTTCATAACTTTGTTCCCTGTATGTGCTACCATATTCAAAGATATATATGTAGCATATGTAAAAGCATAAGTAGGACTATTCTGTCAAACCTGTATTTATATGTGTAGTTTCATTGGCTTTCCCATACTTGTTCAGTTTGCCATCTTGTGGCTTTTTAAATCTTTGCTACTATTTTTTCTGTTTTTCCCTCTCACTGATCTCTTTTATTATCTTTATTATTTTACTTTTTCACTTAATTTGGGGTGAATTTAGTCTTTTTTTTTTAAGTCCCGCCCACCCCCCTATTCTTATTTTTGCAGTTTATCACAGTGGGAGTTTGAGGAACCCAAGGAGGCTAGTGAGTTAAGCATTGGGCTGCTAACTGAAAGGCCGGCAGTTCGAACCCACTAGCCAGTCTGTGGAAGAAAGTTGAGGCAGTCTGTACCCTGTAAAGGGGAAATTCTTAAACTTTTTAAACCAGAACTGCAGTATTAAATGTAACTCGGTTTTTGCTGAATTGGGCCATTCTATTTATACAAAGGCCTATTTGGAACTAAATATTTGTCCTCCTGACAAGCTACCGTTACCTAGCTAGGTAAATCTGTAGGAGCCATAAATCTGAGATGGTAATTTCCCTATCTGGTTAAGTTCTGGTGTGATGGAAATAGATGCTAAGGAAAGGAATCATCTTGGCACAGCCATCTTTTGTATCAAGTAGGTCAAAGGAATATTTCTTCATAGCAAAGATGCAATTAGAGAGTTCCTTGAAAGGATCTTGAAGCTGAGCTTAGCAGAACATTCCCAGACCTTTAAAAATTTTTGATAAGTAAACTATTTTGGGGAAATGATACCTTAATGTCAAGATGAAGCTTCATACACATCTGAGAAATATGGCTGAAGCTCTGTAAATTTCCACCAGTGATGTTTTATGATCCTACATGAAAGTTATAAATCTATGATTGAGAACCCTATAATTTCCAGAGTCCATCACTAAATTCTTTATATTCAGTCTTCTAATTGAAATGTGTTCCCAACTCTAACTCATCCTTTATACCTTAACCAAAATTAACTGAACAACTGTATTATGATTTCATTGTTTCACGAACTATGTATATCTGTTTTTGAAAATTTTGGTTTAAGTTATCAGTTTTCACTTGGTGTCTTTCTACTTCCAGACATAATTTTTTTTTTCCGTTTTCTGGAAATACTATCTTTTAAGAAATTATATTCTTATTGGGATATACTTCACATATCATGCAATTTGATCCTTCAATTGTAGTAAAAAAATATTTGTGCAATCATTTTCTTATACTCACTGTGGTTAGCTCCCCATTTCCCCTCACCCTCCTTTCCAGGCCTCTTTGTGATTATCAATCTAGTTACTGTCTTTATAGATCTCCAGATCCTGGGCTTTCTAGAAAATCATATGAAATACAAACAGGGAGCACACAACAAAGAAACAAAAACCCTCAACAACATAGACAAGACAAAACAGAAAACCTATTCAACAAGAAAACAAACTATTAAACACTGAAACAACTTTAAATGGCTCAAAAGGGCAGTCAAATGCTAAAGCATTACATTTAACCTCACTACATCTGCCATAATTGACTTTACAGTGCTCTCTGTCTGATATCAAGGCTATTTACATGCCTCCACTATGGTCAGAGAGGATTTACTGGAGGCTTAATCCATTGGGGTTCCTGAAAATGGATTTGGGGCTTCCACTGTTACCCTGGTCTTCTGCAAAATGAGTGTTTACAATTTA